CTCACCAACTTCAATAAGAGCAGGAACCCAGAGCCTGCAGCAGGGTGCCTTAGCCACTTGGCATGTTGTTTCCAAAATATTGCCTTTTTTTTTTTTTTCCCAGTTTATCCTAAGTCACTTCTTTCTCACTTAGAATCGCATGGAAGAGAGCAAAGCCTTGTTTAAAACCATCATCACCTACCCCTGGTTTTTGAATTCATCTGTGATTTTGTTTTTAAACAAGAAGGATCTTTTGGAAGAGAAAATCATGTACTCTCATCTAATTAGCTATTTCCCAGAATACACAGGTAAGTGTTCATCTTGGGGATGATGCTTCTGTGTTGATCGTCATCCTCCCAGGCATCAATTCTGAATTCTCAGCATAGCTTACAGGGGTTATCCTGAATCTGCCCAAAACAGCCTCTCTGGCCTCCTCACCTTTGAAAGGAAGCTCTCATTGGACTCTTGTGTGTTTCCCCCTTAGCACCTCCACACAGGCCACTCCCAGTGCCTGGAATACACTTTTAACAACTCCTTTTGCTGGCTCCTCTTGGCTCTCCAGGACCCAGTTCATGCTTCTCTACTGGGAAGCCTTTCTGACCTTTCCTTGAACAAGCAAGGGCTTGCATAAGTGTGCCACCTCCTTGGTGTTACACTGGCTCCTCTTGCTCCTTTGGCTGTCATCTGGTTGTGTAGCATTGTCCCCTCACTTGCTCAGCTCTCTCCCTACTCAGCTACTTAATTTATCTTTGCCCAGTCAGAACCAGTCAGAGCAGCTGGTGCTTCATAGGTTAGGGGGTGGCATCCCCTTTCCCAGACACAGGCGATCAGCCCTTTATGTATACACGTATTCAAAGCAGGAGAGTTTTTTGCCCTGTTGTGAATTATTCCTATAATTCTCAGATATTACTGTTTGACACTGAGGGTTGGTGTCTCATCACTCTTTTTTCCTTTTATTAGCCACACTGGTTGTTAAATATAGAGCCCTCAAGCTTTCTAGCCTCTAATTTTGAATTCCTTTGCTCTTTCCTCTAGTCTACATCTGTGAAAGATAATAAGAATTATCTTTGTTCAAAAGTGGTCCAAATCAAAAAACTAAATTGGGCCACTATTTTATACAAATGATCTTAAAGTACAATTTTTAGATAACAGTGAACACTGTGCAATGCTATTATATGCACTCATAATGACATAATAAAAATAATGCTCCAGGTAAACTGTTCCCTAGGAATAAAGTAAGATAGATCAAAGAAGGACCCCAAATAAGAACAAGAGTATATTCAAAGTGGTTCTTGGAAGATTAGTGGAGTAGAAAGGGGAATGAAGGGAGACATAGGATAGGGAAAGACAGTAGAATGAATCTGACCTAACTTTCCTATATACATATATGAATGTACTACAGTGAATCTTACCATCATATACATCCACAGAAACAAACAAAAAAGCTCAGCACAGTGGTGCACACCTGTAATCTCAGTGGCTCAGGAGCCTGAGGCAGGAGAATTGCAAGTTCAAAGACAGCCTCAGCAATTTAGTGAGGCCCTAAGAAACTTAATGAGACTCTGTCTCAAAATAAAAAGGGCTGGGGATATGGCTCAGTGGTTAAGCGCCCCTGGGTTCAATCCTCTAATACAAAACAAAACCAAAAACAATCCCCAAAAACAGCAACAAAAAATGCCATAAAACTGCAAGTAAATAGCAGAAAGATCAGTAGAGTAGAGGGAAGGGAATGGGGTAGGGGGGTGAGGTGGGGAGTGGGTGGGCAGAGAGAAAGGAAAAGGGGAAGTACTGGGGACTAAATTATGAATTAGAACAAATTATGTCAAAATGAATCCTAATGTTATATATAACTAAAAAGAACCAATTTAAAAAAAATTTCTTGGTTCTTGGGAGGATATGGTAGTAAGTCTATATATTTTTCTTTGTTATATATAACTAAAAAGAACCAATTTAAAAAAAAAAGTTCTTGGTTCTTGGGAGGATGTGGTAGTAAGTCTATATATTTTTCTTCTTCTAATTGCACTTGTGAATAGGACCAAAACAGGATGTGAAAGCTGCCAGAGACTTTATTCTGAAGCTTTATCAAGACCAGAATCCTGACAAAGAAAAAGTCATCTATTCCCACTTCACATGTGCTACAGATACAGAGAATATCCGTTTTGTGTTTGCTGCTGTCAAAGACACAATTCTGCAACTAAACCTAAGGGAATTCAACTTGGTTTAAAAGCTACTGCCCATTTCTTCCTCACAACAAAAAACAGGATTTGCAGGCTCCTTCTGTTTAATTTGCAAATGCTTCTGATATCCCCTGGACCAAGACCCTGTGCCAGGCACCAAGAACATTCTGTAGACAACAGGGACAGAGATGGGTAATAGAATTTGAAAGGTGTTTGAGTTTATCAAACCTCTCAAAAGAGTCTTTTTTCCCAGATTATTTTTGTAGTTCTTTTCTTGCCTCCTGGCTCTAACATTTCGTGTAATTTTTGAATTTGGTATTTTATAGAATTTTAAATGGCCACTGTGATTTACTGTTTTCTTTCAAAAATTAAGTTTCAAGATGTTTAATGATAGACATTAAAAATCACATACAAGGGCTGGGGTAGTGGCTCAGCGGTAGAGTGCTCGCCTAATGAATGAGAGGCCCTGGGTTCGATCCTCAGCACCACATATAAATAAATAAAATAAAGGTATTAAAAAATATCACATACAGAGGGGCCTGTTAATAGATTATGTCTTCAGACCTCTAGGATTAATTTGGGTGACCTTTTAAAAAAACAAGTGTTAATGGGTTTGATGCTTTTTATTAAATCTTGTAATTTAGAGTAATTTCTAATTTTGAGTGTTTTTCTCTCCTTATGCTGGAATTATGATTCCTTTAACAACATGTCACCAAAGATTTTCTCTTTTTAAAAAAAGATGATTCTTTTTGTGTCAACTTCCTAAGTCAGATTAATGAATATATCAGTACATCTAATTTAGTTTAGTCATAACTTGGTCACCATGACACTAAAGTTGACATTTGAAAAATGGATTCCAGACAGTATATATGCTGTATTGGTGAAAAATGTGTATATACACATGTATGTATATATATAAGATTGAGATTATATATATATATATAATCTAATGCATATGGCCAGGTCTTATAAACTTATGAAATGGCTAAAAGTGCAATTGTTTAACAAATGTTATGTAACCCCTGCCAGAGTTCTGATGATCATCACAGATTTGCTGCTTGAACTATGTATGCTGTGCCTTTGTGAGGAGGCTAAGAATATAATATTCTGCCACTAGTACTGATTACCTTGTGTTTATTAAGAGCACACAGTTGGTTGATGGTTCTCCTAAAGAGAAAAATGATGTAGATTTAATAGTAATTCAGAAACTACTAAGTTTCTTCCTTTTGAAATTCAAAAATCTGCATTCATCATGTTATGCTGGAGTTCCCTTAGTAGCTAGCTTAGTAAAGTAGATGCAGAATTCTCTATAAGTACAGAGTGCATCAAACTAAAGGCCCACAATGGTTTTATTTGAATTTTTCATCTGAAGGTGTTCACATAAGCTCAACACTTTGGGATTTAAGGTGTGATATGTCTATTGCAAATTAATGTACAAACAGTCTCCAACTTAGGATGTCTTGACTTGATGATAATGATGTGAAAGCTGTACATTCAGTGGAAATCTTTGATTTTGATCTGATCTTAGGCCAACAATGCATGGAAGATGCAATGACAGGCAACTCCCACTCAGCCACAGGATGGGGAGAGAGGAGGACAACAGCAATTTTATCCCATAGTGCATTCTGTTGCTAGGCTATGATGAAACATAGGTTCAGTGTACTAGAGGCGACCTGCATAGACTATGATCTTATTGATTAAACAGCTAAGGAGGTGGGACATTATTATGAGTACTGGAAGGGCCAAGTCCCTTGCCCTGGGCCAGATCTAATATTTTCAACTTAGCATAGTTTACGGAAGTTGAACATACAAGGTAAACCCAGATTACATATGTTATAAAACTATGTATCAGTGTTCCCACAGCTGTCCTAAACCTTCCTTTTAGCCACTTATTGGATGGTAAAGTTCTCATTTCTGTTGGAACAATTCTAAGTGTGAAGCTATTAGGGCATCCATGCTGGAAAAGACTGATATTTTTCTACCATAGCAACATTAAGCCTTCAAAACTAATCCTTAAGAGATAAAGAACTTGATACACATATTAAAATTTATAGAACTTGATACACATATTAAAATTTATCTGAAACAATAAAGGTCCAGGAACAGTCAAGACAATTTTGCACAAGAGAACAAAGAGATGTGGAATAGTTCAAAATATTTAGAAACAAATAAAAAGACAGTCTTTATTCCCTGCAACAAGCAGTGGGCTAAAGGTTATGAACTGGGTACCACTGGACAATTAACATGAAAAGGGCTCAAAAGACTCAGTAATTAAGGAAATTAAACAATGTGGAATTTTGTTTTTTACTTCAAGTATTTTCTAGTATTTAGTTCAAGTTATTGTTAATTAATCTCCGGCTGACAATTAAAAGCATATAAGAAAACAATGGTTTTCAATTACTAGTACAGTAGGGCTGTGGAATAAATCAAAGGATGGTAACAAAATATTTTCTTAAGTCATGGAAAGGCTGAACTCTCACCGATGGTAAGGTGAATTACTCACCTCTGCCAATATTGATTCTACTCATAGAAAATTCTCCCTTAGCCCTTCTTTCAAAGCATATTAATAACTTACTGAGAAAATTATACACCTGAAGTTTTCTAAAGGTTGAGAGGCACAGTGCTGGTGGCTGAGAGTTCACCAGGTACAACTATTCAAGCCTTTTTGGTGAATAGTGATCATGCTGGACTGGAATGCTTTCTGCTTTTACTGAAAAATCATGCTTGTTCTCTTGGGGGACCTTTATTTAGGACTCACAGAAGGTAGAATTCAGATAGGCAAGGAAAGGCTACTGATAGTTTCTAGTTCTAGTCAATAATTAAAAACCAAAGTACACTAAAGAATTAGAAGGTGTTATTGTACTCAGTTTATTTGAAAAAGATACACATGGTTAAACTGGGCACTCATCTTTATCATGCAATCAATCCAAATCTACCAGTACCAAGAAAATACTGTTCAGAGAGAAGTCATTAGTGAGGATGGCCAACCCAATTAGGGGAGCAAAAACAAAAAGACTAAGGTCGGTTTCAAGACTATGAATTTCACTGTAAATATTGAGGTTTATAGATTGTCTTATCAAAATAAACTAAAGCAGAGGTTGTGTAACAGACAACTGGGCTGAGCCCACTTATAAAAGGAACAAGAAACATTTCAGTGATGCAGGAACTATCATAACCAATAGCAACCAAAGAATAAGCATTACAAAGATGTGAGATTATTTGGTCAATATACAGAGTAGCAAGAAAAAGTATTTTTAAAGTGTACCTTCCCTGAAAACTTCATTATTAAGTTTAATACAGTTACATAAAGAGATGATAATAACTTTAAGAAGTTTACAAAAACCTATCTTACCTTGTAACAAGTCCTAGATATAATTTCTAATAGTTTGTGGGTTACATGAGTATAATCATTGATATTGACAATATTTCAATGTAACCTATACGATATTGTTATTTGAATGTTTTTCAGTGCAAGAATTGGGAACTTTTTGGTAACCAAAAACTGGAGGTATCATGGCATAACAAGAAATGTTGACGTTTTAAACATGTTCTCCTTTAAGTAAACTTCTAATTATTACACACTTTATTATACCAGACTCACAGGATTTCTTGTTACAAGAATGTCATAAAAGGAACACGTCATTAATATATCAGCAATATGAAATGAATCGTATTCATGACAGAGATTTTCAATCAAAGCAGTTTGATACCTATCACAGTAGGTGATAAACTATTTTACAAATTAATTTACATTTGTATACAGTAATAAAATTTAAAAAATATATCTACCTATAAAATTTGAAATTGTATTTCTTGCATAGCTCTTTGGGTAACCAAAATTATGTGTATTTTTAAAAGCCATATGCTTTTTAAAAAAACTAGAACTAAGCCATAATTTTAAAGTACATTTTTAAAGTGGCATGGGCCAATTTATTTTACAAAAGAGGAAATAAAGTAGAAAAGTTTCAATTAGATGCAAATGAGATTCGTAATACAGCAGGATGCAGCAAGGTGCTAGCCTTGCTTACAGCACAGTTCTAAAACAAACAGCACTTTAACCAAATAAAAGTGTGGGGGCGGGGTGGGGATTAAGAGTTGTACTAATGGGTATACTGGCCATTATAACTAAAAATACAGATCATAAGAATCATGAAATTTTAGCCAGCTAGCACTACCTTTACTGGGTTAGCATAAACCATAAGATGCAACTTCAAAAGGATGTTTAAAGGATTAGGCAAAGGTAAAATGGGTTCCTTTATAGAGTAAAGGAGCTATTTGTGATACTGCATAGCACCAAAGGATATCAGGTTGACTAAGTTGTGCATTGAGTCTGGTATAAGGAATGCAAGTTGTCTACACTTTCTTAAAGAAATGGGAAAATCCATTATTTAAAAAAATTTTGTAAGTTGTAAAATGCTATGCTAAAGACTCCTTATCAGTGATCTTTTAATATTCTTACTGCTCCTTTAGTTAAAATGAGTGATATTTGGACAGTACCCCCCAGCAAATGAATATTTTGGGCCTACAAGAAAGTGACATATATATTCCCCATTTTTATGGGCTTTTGCCACCTGTTATGGTAAATCAGCCAGAAGGTAGATGGAACAAATTCAACTTACTCAAAAGGAAAACTTTTGTCCCCAATTATAGTAAAATGCTTAGTGATTAGGAGGTTGAAATATACCTAAGTAAAAGATAGCCATGGTCTTTGGGTGCCATTTGTAGATCTAATTTTTTCATGCATTTTTTTCTGGTCTCACTGAATCACAGTGAGAGTCACATGCTAGCAAAGAAAAATGTTTTATAAGCCTAAGTGAGAACTATCCTATCTTCTCATTCTAAGGATAGTGCTTACAATCTGAAGGGCTCTTGAGTTGTGGATCTACACTATACTTTATCTAATTGTGTAATAGGCATTACACAATCTAGACTGTTCAAACTTTTTAAAAAAAACTACAGTTGGCAATCGGAGCTCACACCTGATATTGTGACCTAGTACATACGGTATGTAGAAGATTTAACCGAAATGGTATTTCAGGAAACAGAAATCTCCCAAGACACTGCTAACATTAGGAAAGAAGCAACATATATATGCCCTCCCTTTAAAAGGGAAGCCATTGGAGAAGTATACACTGTAATTCAGGGAAGAAGATTCTGGACTCTGTTACGTGAACAAACATAATACTACTGTAAATTGTAAAGTATTATGCTAAATACTCCCTTTTTAGTGATCTATTAATGTTCTTCTTATTCTTTTTTTGTTCAGATGAACATAATCTTATAAAACAACTGATAAACTACAGACAGAGGAAGTGATGTGTAGATGAAGGAAGAGATTTTTCTAGGTTCTCATTAGAAGGAAAACAGGAGATATAGGCACATTGGCTTTACAATGTATACTAGTTACAAGATCCATTCCTCCTGTTTGCCAGATACCAGAAGAATTTCTATGCTTACTATTTTACCCTTTTTCTTCACCATAGAATACCTACAGAATTAAGGGGTCTATACCTTTTCTGAATGCTGAAACTGGAGCAATGAGTTTTTGGACTAATGGCATTAAACAGAACTCCAGTAAAGCAACGTTCCAAATGGAGACAATCTAAATCAAGCTTTCAGACTACCTCTACTTTTTAATTTGGATATATGCAAAACTGGAGGAGCTCAGCAACAGTGAATATAAGTACATTACTTTGAACAAAGATCACCATGGGGACACACACCACCATGTGGTTTAAAATTTGTCATCTTCTTTCTATTCAATTTATCTTTGGCAAAGGAAAAAGCATTTTGGGTGAAACTACTGATAATAAACAATGAGTTTTTGTAATCAGAGAAATCAATAGTATTTAGTAGGATCTGGTCAGCAAGAAATACAATTACTATCTTGCAAGCTGTTTATTTCAGCTTTTACAACAATGCAAGGGTTTGAAAAGCCTGAGGAGAATTTCACAACCATTGACTATATAGAGTCTTCAGTTTCAAAAACAGTTGATAATAATTTGATGGCACAAACAACATGCATCAAATACTCTATATTATTCAATAACAATTTAATTAAGATACTACACTATTCTGTTCATAATTCACAATCACATATTTATCCTCCTTCACTTGAAATAGTCCATGAATATTAAGGTGCAAAGATCTTGGACAAAAACCAAGAAAAAAACATCCCTCAGCCTCTGCCCCCTGGCCCTTTTTAAACTAAAGAAGTAATTTTTACTTGAATAATTAGAGAAAGCAAACAAGAAATTCTTAATCTATGGCCAAAAGATAACTAGGTTAGATTTTAGGGTACATTGTATCCAAGATTTGGAAATTTTATTGTTACCAGTGAATAGAAAATAGGTATATTTAAGGCTTTAGGAATTTTCCTTTGAGATCTGTCTCTTAAAAACATTATCTGGGTAAATCAAGTAGCTATCAAGGAGTTGATTTGAAGTTTCCTAAGGCTCTAGTCTGGGAGAGACTTTCCTTTTCTGGGTATGATATTAATTTCTTCAAGCCTTTCTTAAAATGAGGCTTGAAGGGATATTATTTAATCTATGTTCAATCTCAAGAGACTGTTTTTCATGATCATGCTATGCAGTTTAAGTATAATTTAAACCTATGCTTTAAAAAAGAAGTGAAATAATGCCAAAATATTAATTTGTAAAAAGAAATGACTTTATGATTCTGAAGAAATCACCACCACAGTTCTCTTGATTCCACTAAAGCAATATCTGATTTGATAATATATCCATCACTCCATGAGTTTGAGGTAAACGTGATTGAAATTTAAAATGTAAACTAAAGGCTTCACCCCATGTGAAGACCAGCTACAGGCAACTTCTCTACCACAACAGAGAATAACCTGGAGCAAATATTTCTTGATTCATGGTAGAAAATTGAATGGTTCTCTGAAGAGATGAATTTTAATCACATAGATGTTTTACCTGATTTTTAAAAATCATCTAGAATACAGTATACTCAAAATCACTCCTAGAACACGCTTCCCCAACAGGTGTTAGGAAGTAACAGTATGGATGCTGTAGTAATGGATTGCTGTGTCTTCAGGCAGGGTTATCCCTCAGAGGCTTGGAGAAGGTTCTCTTGCTTCTTCTAGCTTTGTGAGGATCCACTGTTGTGGAGGAAACAACATTTACTTATTTCAATGAACTTACAATGACACAAAATGTTAATAGATGGAAACCTAGAAGTCAGCTTTCCAGTTTAGTTAAGCATACATTGATAGCAGATACACAACATTCATACTGCAGAAGTGATCACTCAAATAGCTCATATGATTCAGGGACAATGTTACTGCATTTAACAGTAGGAATAATGTTTTTCCAAGGTCTCTGCACTTGGAAGTTCATCCTCACAATAAGAAAAGTAAAATCAACCATCCTGAGGGATAAGGGTAATTTGGCAGTTACACTGAATAAATGACAGTCTAAAAATTATTTATGTAAAATTCCTTCCAACCTGCGTCAGTTCTTTACTGAACAGGATAATTACATACAATTCTACTGTGGGTAGTAGCATAATAATATCCTCAAGCAGTTTTGATGTTCTCTTAATGTATTTTCTATTCTGAAAGGATTTGAAATCATAAAAATGAAGTGTAATACAAACCTTTCTACCTATATTGTTCATTATTATTGGGTCAGGACAGGTGAAAGTTGTAACAGTTAATATGGGGTCACCTCGTTATAGGAGATGGCATCTGAGTAAGATCCTCTGGCCTGTGGTCTACCCACATATATACCAAATTGAACAGCTAGTCACATGCCAATCACAAGTAAGAAATCAGTTAAGAAACTATAGTGCCCATTTTTAGTATAATAGGATAAAAAACGGTGTTGAAGAAAGTAAAAGGTATATGTTCCCACATACTTCCCATAACTCCATACAGTACAGATTTGGAGGGACACATCCCACTTTGGGGAGGGAGAGAGAATTAATCCAGGCCTTAGATGTGAAACTTAGGACAAGGGCCACCATAGTGAAAATCACAACCCCTATAATGCCAAGTCAATGCCCCTGGAATGAGTGGCTGGAACTGTAAGTCAGATGAATTACTGCAATCTCACCCTCCTCCAACCTTGAGTAACAGAGCATGGAACAAGACTCTACCTGCTAGAGAGTGATACACAAGTTAGTACAGGGCTTTGCTTTAAAGCCCAGTGTCAGGCCTGCCATGGTGAGCACTAGCACATGGTAGAAATTAAAGGACCATACATAGGCCAGAACTCACAGGTGGAACCACTGGACCAGCCCCCAAATCAAGAGATGTTTGTGCCAGCAGGACAGACTCAAGTTTTGGCCTACATCATTTCCAATCTTACAGGGGCCTAAGGGCATACCTCCCTCTTCCTGAGACTCTGCAAGCCCCTGAAGCTCTAAGACTCAGGCATGACTAACATCAGCCTTGGTGGCTAAGGGACTGCATTCCCCAATAATACCACAATCTTAGGCAGCATAATGTGGTGCAACATCCCCTTTGCTGGGGTAGGACAGAGTAGTAAGCACAAGACTCTACTTTGGAATTTGGTAAAACTTAACATCAGCTAGTTGTTATGGCCCCCAACACCCCATCTGTAAATGGAGCCTCTGGAACAGTTCAGTGTCTGGAGAAGTCACATAACCTAAATCTATCAGGCTGTTTTTCCAGCTAGCAACACCTATCACTGGTTACAGTGGTCTTGGGTTACAATTCCACCTCAGCAATAGGCAGCAGTGTGGACCCTGGTCCTACCCCAGTGTTGGTGCTGGTCTAGGGCTATGGGCTCAGGGGTATAGCACTGTTTGGCAGCACTGGTGGCCTGCTCAATCCACAAATACTCAGCCCAGAGGCAGGCTGAGTCCTGCAGTACCTGACCAAAGGCTGCTAACTGTGGACAAGGCATCCAGCCCTACACTAGGCAGTGGTTTGTAGGGATGGACTGTTCTTCCTAGATATCTTCTGGTTCCTTCTGAAAAACACACCAACAGTGTATCTGGGACAAACCTGGGCTTGGATTGCCCTCTTGCACTGAAATGGTGGCAATTGGCAATAGGAGACTCCTAGCAAATCTGGTGCCATTTAGTACTGAAATAGTGGAAGTGACTGCAGACAGGCTAAGATAAGCAGCAGGTTTAGAATTTCTGGAAAATAGACACAAAGGCAGACTAAGGAAAACTGGGATAAATATCTAATTCTTCAATGTCTTGATGACATCACATGCCAAGCATAAAGAGCTGTCAGGAAATCATGACCTCACCGAATTAGGTGAGAAAATATGAAGAAACATTTCAGTTCTCTAACAGAGAAATTCAACCAGGAGATGAAAGCTATTAAAAATCAAATTCTTAAGCTGAAAAGTACACTAATTTTAAAATGAAAAATGTGATAGAAGACATCAATTGTAGGACAGCTCACACAGAAAAATTAGTGAGCGTGAAGAGACACTATCTGAAAGTATACAGTTGGAGAAGGAAAAAGAAAAAAAGGAAAAGGAACAAAAATACTTAAGGAAATTTTGAGATTGTATTAAAAAATATTCATGTTACTTGGGATCAAGAAGGACTGGACAATGCCAAAGAAGTAGAAACATGTTAAAAAAAATAGAAAACTTCCCAAACCTAGAGAAAGATAGAAATATATAGGCACAGGAAGGTCAAAAATCACCAAATTTAATTAAACCAAATTTATACCAAGATATTTTATAATCAGGCTGTCAAAAAAAAAAGAAGATTCTCAAGTCTGCAAGAAAAAGAAACAGCACAAAAGGTATACCAATTTGCCTAACAACAGACTTCACAGCAGAAACTTTACCAGCAGGAGAGTGATATGAGATTATCACAGTACTGAAAGACAAAAATTGAATCAAGGATACTGTATGCAGCAAAGCTATCCTTTACAAATGCAGAGAGTAATACAATCCCAGACAAACAAAAGCTGAGAAAATCTATCTCTATCAGGTCTATTCTATAGGAAATGTTGAAGAACGTTCTTCAAACTGAGAGAGATATTAATAAGAATATTGTACTGCATAAGCATGCAAACAAATTCAGAATGCTTTAATATTGCAATCATGGATCATTCATATGTTTAGTGTGAAGACTAAAAACAAAACAATTAAAATAATAACTATTTTAACCTATTAAGAGGCAACATAGAAAGATATAAAATGGATATACAAAATTCAAAATGCAGGGAACAATGAAGGACACTTGTAGAATTTTCTTATTAGTATATTTTCTCTTGTCCTTTCTGTTCTTATCTTTACAATCATTAAGTTGCTATCATTTCAAAATAGCTTTTTCATAAACCAAAAGATAGTTTTGTAAGCCTCATGGTAACCACAATACAAAAATCTATAATGGACAAACCAAAATAATAAGGAATCAAAACATGACTCGAGTAAATCACTTAACCATAAAGGAAGACTGCAAGAAAGGAAAAAAGAAGGGAATTATAACAAAACTAGAAAGAAAGTTTTCATAATAAGACCTTTTCAATAATTTCCTTGAATGATGAATGAATTAAATTCTCCAATTAAAAGACACAGAGTGAGTGAGTGGATTGAAAAAAATAAGGCCCAACAAATATGTTGCTAATAAGCAACTCACTTCATCTCTAAGGACACACACACTGAAAAAGAAGGGCTAGAATAAGATATTCCATACAAATTGAATCTAAAAGAAAGCAGGAATAGCCACACTTGTATTAGACAAAATATACCTTCAATCAAAGAGACAAGGAAGGTTATTATATAATTATAAAGGAAGAGGAGGAAATAACAATTCTAAACACAGCACCAAAATATATAAAGCAAATATTAACAGATCTAAAGGGAGAGAAAGACTCCTGTACAATAACAATTAGAGACTTTAGCACCTCACTCTCAGCAATAGATAGACCATCAATACAGAATAATCAACAAAGAAACAGCAGAGCTAAATTGCACCCTAGACCAAATAAACCTAACTGACATCTACAGGACATTCCATCCAACAGCTGCTGAATACACATTTTTTCTCATTAGCACACAGAACATTCTCCAGGAGAGATCATACACTAGACCAAAAAACACATCACAACAAATTAAAAAAGAAAACCCTGAAATCTTATTGAGTATCTTTTCTAACCGCAATGCAAAGAAATTAGTAACAAGAAAAACTCTGGCAACTATACAAACACATGGAAATTAAACAATTTATTCCTGAACAATCAATGGATTAAGGAAGAAATCACCTACAGGATATAGCAAAAGCAGTACTAAGAAGGAAGGGTATAGCAGCCAATGCCCACATCACAAAAAAGAGGTAAACAACCTATCACTGCATCTCAAGGAAGTAGGTAAAACAAGAGCAAATCAAACCCCAAATAAATGAAAGGAAGTAAAGACCAGAGTAGAAATAAATGAATGAAATAGATACTAATAAAAATACAACAAAGGGCTGGTTCTCTGAAAAAGATAAACAAAATACACAAGCCTTTAACTATAAGAAGAGAAGGCTCAAAGTAGGGGAGGCATAACAAATTCAGACACCACAGAAATGGACACATTCCTAGACACAAACAACTTACCAAGACTGAACCATGAAGAAATAGGAATCCCAAGTGATTATTAACAAGTAACCAGAATGTAATCAGTAATAAAAAGGCTCCTATCAATGAAAAGCCCAGAACCAGATGAATTCTACCAAACATTCAAAAAGGTAATAACAATTTTCCTTAACTATTAAGTCCCAAGTTTGTAAATTTGTGAATATTTCAACAAAATTAATAAAGGTGCATTAAAATCAGTTGGAAACCATAATTTAAAGCTTACATATCATATTTATGTATTTTTTTTCAAATGCTCTAAGTATTTACCTATTACTTTTCCTCCAGAGAATAGACCTCTAAAAACAATTATTTCAAAGTTACCATAACTCAATTTGACTTTTTGTAGGTGTTCCACATCTGGGACAATGGGACAAAATGGGTTAAATTATTCCAGGAAGAGGAAGGAACACACAAACACATTCCATGAAACCACCATTACTCAAATAATAAAACCACATGAGGAACACAATAACTAACACACACACACACACACACAAATCAAGGAGGAAATCCTTGATGTGCATAGATGCAAAAATGAAGAA